TTTTTTTTTTATTTCTCTCTCGTCTTTTCTTTGAGACAATAAAGATATTAACATTTGAAAATACGATTAATTTCTCTTTACAAAATTTCATCATGACTTTATGACCTAAATATTCCCGTTATTTGCTCTCATCTCATCCACCTCATCGTATGCATTACCTCAATATAATTTTCTCTTGCATTCTTGTTCGTATGATAATAAAAAAGAATTTTTAAAAAAACAACAAGCGATAAAAGAACAAATAATAAAACGTCAAAATGTATGAGATGGAAAAAATGACCGGACAGAATCATTGGGTTGTAAAAAAAAAAAAAAAGAAAAAATAGAGAATGAGTAGAAAATTGTGAGAAAATGAGATAATTTTTGGAGAATAAAATTATTTGGAATGTAAAATATCTAACAATAGATAAAAAACACTAGATAATTTACATTCTAAATTTTAAACATTTTTAAAATTGTATGGACATGATTATCAAGACTGATTGTTGAAGTATTTATTTATTTAATTATTATTTCCATTGTTATTGATGATTATTCATTATTTAAAATAACCTATCACAATTAAAAGTTTAAATCCTAGTACTACTTGATTTAATTAGTAATTCACTTATCATCATTGACCCTCAATTAATCTCCTTAACCTAAAAAAAAAATCACTGAACACCAAAAAGACTCCTCACTTCCATTGATCAATCAAATAAACCAAAAGATCTCCAACAAATAAAGATAACATGAATCCTAATGTAATGAGCAAGCAGATAACTAAACAATAAAAGCTACAAAGATCCGTAAAGCCAAGCAGAATAACCTTCCTATCAAAAAAAAAACTAACCTCTTATAAACACATCTTGCATTTTATCCCCATACACTGAAAATCACTAAAAAGCATAGAACCAAAGCCACAAACGAGCACGAGAGAGAGAACAATTGATTAGAGGTAGTAATAATTTATTACCTGGCTATATAGATAGGATATATATACACATTTGTCGTAAAGAAATCTTTACACATAAACGTCAAGCCATTACTTATTTCGAGGTGATTACGATACTTCTTTGATTAGGGCCGCTTAGCTTATTATAATGGCCGAGAATTTCGAGAGATCGACGACCGAGAGGCCCCCGGAATAATACGTAAATTCCATCGGGATTTTCTTTTTTCTCTTGAAGCCACCAGCATTCATCTCGCTGAAGAAAAGGAAACCTTTCGAAATCCGAGATAATTTATGCGCGTCGGGCCCTTCGTTACGATAAGAGAGAAGTCAGGGTCCAGGACAAACACTCGAGTGAGAAAAAAAAATCCCATTCGACAGCCCACGAGATTAAATCACTTTTTATTGCTCAATTAGGGACAATAGGGTTCCACTTGTTGTTTGGGCCTTAAAATATTAAATGGGCCTTATGCCTAGGAATGCGTCATATTATTCCGGACCTTGGTGACAGTTTGACCGTGGTCCAGAGTCTAACTTGAAACCGCTTTCTATCGTCCCCCTCTCCACTCTTGAGTCCCTAAACAGGCCCACCGCAGATTTACGCGTGCGCTCACCTGCTCATCCATTCTGGGCATTGGCCCACTTGCACCCCCTGCTACTTGTTCCAGCTGCTTTACGTACTTGTCTTATTCCACCGACCAGACTTAACTGTCAACCTTTTCGACATTTCTCACTAATTCTTTTACACTTTCTTCTCCTTTACGTATGTTTTTTTGTTTTACTCTTTTTTTGAGAGATTGGTAGACTGTCAGGTGATGGGAATACTGATTAATATTGGGATCAAGTTTATATATATTTTTTGAAATTTTATTTCTTAATCGTGTCAATTAAGAGAACTTTTTAACCTCGTTGGGAGAATTTATATGATTTTCTTTCGGTGTCAGATAAATAATTGTCATCAGATGACATTTCACTTGGTTATTTTTTTATTTTTAATATGATATTCTAGTGTTTAAATAGTTATTAAGATTCTTTAGATGGCATTTTTTTTGAATAAATAAAAATTTTGAAAGTATTTTATTGATTCTGTTTAAAACAGAATTGATTAAATAATCGACATGGATTTAAAAAATTCTTCTGAGCTAACGGTTCAGTCAAATAGTGTTTGAAACCATCTCTTTGAATTGCCAAGAGTGTGATCTTTTCAATGGTAACATTACTTTTGACCATAAAAAATTTTTTTACTCTCAAAAATCCCTTTTTTTAATCAACAGACAAATAGTAAAAATTGCTCCAAAAGCTAAGTTTATTATAACTTCATAAAACCCCTTGAAAAAATTATAAATAATTTTTTTTATTGTAAAAACAATGGTTTTATAAGAAAGATCATACTTGGAACGATTCAAAACACTACAATAGAATCAATTTTAACCAATTCCTACCTCAGATATGAGTCACAAAAAGAAGTTGTTCAACAAATAAATCAAAACAATTTAAAAAGTATTTCTTTCAAAAAAAAATTCTCTTACTTAAAAATCCATTTATTTAAAAAGATTAATTCAGTAAATAATAAAAAAAAAACTCTATTACGAAACAGGTGGGTCACGGGTTTCCTCTCAATCTCATTTTATTCAGCATCTACTTCGATCACAATAAGAATCGTCTATTCTCATTGTGGACCATAATCCTTATCCTCCTCAGCATGGAAAATGCGTGGCAGGCCTAATGGATTTCTTTGTTAGGGCAACTTGTCTTATAAGCAGCACACTACGCACCATGTAGTATAGACACCACTACTATACGATAGATAATACAAAGTCGAAAAGAATGGACTCTGAAGATAGCCCCAAGCTGTTTTGCACCACACATAGTTGACTTTGGAGCGCGGCCCCTTTTAACTCTTTGCGACACTTTAATGTAAAAAAAAAAACAAAACCAACTATTCAAAGGACACTTTTACTTGTTCATTGTCCAGTTTACAATCATATTCAAACGAAGATAAAAAAAAAATGAACAAAACAATTAAATTTTTAAAGGTTGATTTATCGACAACTCAATTGGTTGGTTCAATTGGGCAAAAAATTCAAACTGTATGAGATGAATAAATGATTTGGAAGAAAATGTATAAAATGTAGATGACGCTGTTGGGTTGCAATAAAGAATAAAAGGAGATACAAAGAGTGGAAAAGACGGGAGGGCCGTGGGCCTAATTAGTCAGGGATATATCTGGAATCTCATGAGGCGAGTTTTGTAGGCCTCCTTCAGTTTTATGTACGCAGGCGGATTTCTCGATGCGGGATTAGCATACAAATCGATTTAAACTCGAGATAAATAGCCACTCAAAGGCTTCTCACGTGGAGCCGACTTGGAGCATTATCTTGTCCACTGTTGAGATTAACGCTTAATGCTTTATATTTTACTGACCATCGAGGACTCCTGTGGTACTGACATATTCACGTACCGATACTTTTATATAAATATCATTCTAATTCTGCTCCCAATCACCGTTTTAACCCTACCACTTTCTATCAAGTTATTTCTTTCGAGAAGCTTCCAAGGGGCAAGTTTAAATGTCGATGAGATTATTTCATTCGCATTTTCGACGAGTGGAAATTTTTTTTTTAGAAAACTAGTGGCTTCTTGAGTTTCATCAGACTCTGAACGATTCCAAACACTACGATACCATCAATTTTGAATGATTTTTCAATGATTTATGCAGCTTCAAACACTAGAACTCATTGATGATCAAAAGAATCCTACGCATGGTTTTAAAAAAATTCCTCTGAGCTAACGGTCAGGTGTAGAACCTTTCGAAACCAACTCTAGAAATCGCTAAGAGTATGATCTTTCTGATAGGAATATTTTTAACATCATAAAAAAATTCTTTGTAGTGGAAAAAATCATTTATTTACTGATATGTTGATGATTAGCATTTATTCTGATGTACTGCTAGATGATGGATCTTTTATTGAAAAAAAAATATAGAAGAGATTTTTTTAAAACAAAAATAATAATCACATCTTCAAGATCATACTCTGGACGATTAAAAACACTCCTATTCAACGGTCTTATGATAAATTGTTTAAAAGTTATGAGCATTCAAAGACGACAACAGACTGTTGAGCTTTTTGACCAATAGCGTATAGTAATTTAAACAAATTTTTTAATTGGATGTGCATACTAGTGACATTGTTGAGATGATGAGAACAAAAATAAACGAGTAGTTACAGTTGTAAATAAAGGAAGCAAAGAAAATTTAGTAGAACTTGAAGATGAGATACATTCCTTCTTCAAAGAGATGTTGAAGAAGACATGAAGAACAAGAAGTAGAAGAAGGAAATGAGAGCAGTTGGAGTTTGCGCACCGTTGAATCCGAGTTTTAAAACAGTGAGAGTTGCTGAAGGGGTTGCTCTCCTTTGTGATACAGTGCGGAAAGTAACCCTTGATGTTTATGTCTATCCAAATGATATTTTTTTTTCATGTTTGTCATAATAATGATCATTAACAAAGCAAAGTTGTTATTTTTGCTAAGGCCAATAATTCTATCAACATCAAGGCTCTTAGAACAATTATTATTCATCAATTAATTGGTCTAAAATCTTCCCAACTCAATGCTAACGTCATCTAAAGTATCATCTTAGATTAAAAATTTTTTTTTTGGCTTCAAAACAGCAACACATCATCAAAGTGCTCTTTGAAAATGTCTAGATGAATAAATAAATGAATTTTTGAGCATTAGAAAATTTTTTAACATTCAAAAAAAAGTCTTCATTAAAAAGATCATATTTTTGGCAATTTCAAACACTGGTTGTGAGTCCAAAAACTGCAACAACTTCACTGACAATCACTTAAATCAACTTCAATCAACATCTTGATGATTTGAAACCTTCTTTTTTTGAAAATATCATCCAGTTAAGGATGAAGGGAAATGTATGATCGAAGATAATCGAAGCGTGTTGTCTGAATATGAGCATTAGTGTCTGACGACAGAAGGTATCCTTAAAAGGCTTAAAGTGTAGATTCTAGAGCGCAGTGTATGAAGAAAACGCGGGAAAAAGGAGTAACTCACCGTCAGTTCTGCGTATTGTCACCCATTTATGTAAACCGTATTATCATCAGTCACTCACCACTAGTTGTCATCAATATCACTTGACCAAATTAGTCAACAAGAATATAATAAAGCACTGAAAGTATTCCAAACTCTATTAAAACACACAAGTATCAATAAAATAAAAAAAAAATATTCACAATAATTCACTGTTTTCACGTGTGATGATGAAAAATGGCATGAAAATGGTCACAATTGGTTGGAATTAGCACACTTGGATGAAGATGGGATGGAGGGGAAGTGTATAAAAGTAGAAGGAGAGAGAAGGCGGTGTCAAAAGGTGGTATCTTTTGATAGCCAGGTAGGGAGGTTGTCACTATTAGCAATATGCAAAGACAAAAGAACAAGACAATGATGATGCACTTGTTACAAACACACTTGGTTGGTTACTTAAAAGTATAATGAGTATCACTGAAGCCTCTATATGAAACACTGGGGCCACTACTCGACCTTCCTCGACCATTTGATTCGGTTAGAGAGTGGTGGGCAGCGTTCATTGTGCCACAACCTGTCTTGGATCATTCTCCTTGGATCCTTTTGGGGTGGGGATGTCTCTCAAATCTGTGTGTGTTTATGTATCCTACCTAAGAAGAGACACGCGACGACTGCTAGCCCCTTTTAGAGTGTCTGATGGTGTACTTTGTTCCAGAACAATTAACCCCAAAGTAATGGATCCAATTAGGCAACGTCCTGGCCTCCTTGCAACCCTTGGACTGGTGATCGATTAGTCCACGGTCCAGTTGAGATGACACCAGGCCAAAGTAACTTTAGATCAATCCAACTAATTCCTGAACAATGTGTCTGCTGGCCAGAATCAACTTGTTATTGAGCCACACTCTCACTGGATGACAATGATAATGATATAACAATAGCCCGTGCGTTCTCTGCTGGTTCGGATCTTACACTGAAGACCCGGCAACACACACACGTGTGCGTGGCTCCTCTCGGCCGGCTGGGCCCCGGCAGGTAGAGAGAAAAGCCACATAGTGGGCCGCAAGAGTGAAGAGAGGTGGAGGATAAAACACATGGAGAGGGGAAAAGCAGACACACTCTCGCATGTAACAGCGGACACATGAACCAACCAAGCGGACCAACGACATCTCATGTGCACACAAATATACTTACACACACCATCGTCATCATCATCATCATCATATTGAGTGGCTAACATGCTAGAGTGAGATACTTGATTCTGAACAGAGTTAGAGAATGAAAGGCTCAGGTGAAAACGACCGAGAGAGAATGATAACACACGACAGACAAAGCCCACTTCACCTGCACCTGGACGATCCTTTCCAACTTGGTGTGTTGTTGCTCGTGTGCTGGTTATGATTGTTATTGTAAGCAGCATCTGACTACGTTGACCTATTCTACACATCAATCTGTCAATCGATCATTTTTGTTCATTCATTGATGATGTTGGATGGATTCTTCTTGCTTCAAGATCATAAGAAATTGGTCTTCTAGGGTTTTATCAACTTACTGGGTGTCTCTGTCAATTTACGCTCTGTCATCTGTTTCTTATCTTTCAATCATATCATCCAGTTCCCCTTTTACTTCTTTGTTCTTCTGATTTTTTATCTAAACCTTTTTTTATCCATCTTCTTCTCCTTCTTCTTCGTTGATGCACAATCTTCTTGGACGTCATTGTAATTTTTTTGTCAACCAAATCCCCTAGAATTTATTGAAACCATCATTCAGCTAAATCAATGTCTAGCATTTATTTCTAGATCTTTGAAAAAAATCTTTGCTGATAGAAATCAATGATTAGATGTTGGAGATGAACTTATTTTCAACAAGACCTCCAATGAGTTTGATTTAAAAATAGCATTTAAGAAGCCAAAAAGTGTAATGACTTGTAATGAAATGATGACTTTAGCAACTGGAAAAAATTGATGACTCTGGAGATTAACATGGAGAATATTAGCATTTTTATCGATGGCAATAAGAAGTGTAGTAATTGAAAAAATGACAGTGAGTATGTAAATGAAGGAAGTTCACTGGCTAGGATCATAAGTCATTGGTGGTATCATGTACGCAGACATGGTCAATCGAACAAGCTTGACTGGCGCGGCGACACGACGACGAGAGGCTGGCAGAGAGAGCCTGGGATGAGATAAGAGTGAATACAGAACCTCAACGACTATTGCAACTAAGAAAAGAGTGAAGGAAGAAGACAGTGGTTGCTAACGTCGAGAATAATCCTGGGATACATCGTTATATACGCAGGAGAGTGGTTGGATAATATAAGCAAAGGAATCTCTAGGTGTTGTGTAGCAAGTGTAGACGGGTGAGTGTCCGGTTAGGTGTCGTCTAAAAAGCCGCGGGCATCGACCGTAGCTTTGCACCTTAAGTGTCTCATGTCAAAGCATTTGATAATTTGATCAACAGTCCCCTCTTTCATTACTTATATTGATTGACCCATTGTCCTCACCATCCTCTACTTTACCAGAACCCTCATGACCTCCATCACTGATTAGATCTTTAACGTGATCTTACGAGCTAGCTTGTTTTTTTTTTCTTCTCATGTTTGACTTCAGGTTACGTGGTAGCCCTCACGATTGACGATCTACCTGTGACTGAATGTGTACGTTACGCTCTCGACCGTATCTGTGGTAGGCGGGGCCCCCATTCTATTTCAGCTTCTCATTCATAACTTTGTTTTTAATAGCTGGTGTACTCCAATATTCTCAAGGTACTGCTTATTCATTATTTTCGTTTATTCATTTATTTTTTTTTCAATGAAAATAAATTGTTTCTTCTGATTTCTTGCTATTCTTAAGTCTTTTAGAATTTATTAGTAAGGAGATAATTGGAATTGCGTTAAATAAAAATACTCAAAATTTACAAAAACAGACCAAGTTGGGCCTAATGAGTCTAAAATGAATCTTATAAAATTATAAATAGGTCTAATAAGACTAAAAATAAAATTCAAAACATTACTTAATGGTTAAAATAATATTTAGACTGAATGAAGGTATGAAGGATAATAAACTTGGATGATGCAGATTCGTCATGGGATGGTATCGATCGATTCATCAATTTCACAGTTCGTTAACGATTGGCGTGTGATTTTTATAAGTGATAGAGGCTGGTTTGAGGATCGTCCGAGGTCTTCGGTACCGACATTCGATTAATAGATATCGACAGGAACGATCGGTCATTCGTGGCCATGGAAAACATGTACTCAGGGCATATAGGGGAAGTCTGGGGATGCGGAGGAAGAAAGAGAAACAAGAGAAGTTGTCGTGGGAATCACTTGAAACTCACTCAATTGCTTTGCTGTCTTGATATGTGTACAAGACAAAGAGGAATAAAGTAGACAGACTGCGAGCCAGTTTTCGCATCACTTGCTGGAGGATACAGTAAGAGGGAGATACCAGGAGGGGCACAACAAACTCATACAGACTTCGTTCTCTCCCTCCCTCCCCCCGCTTCTTCACCACTTGCTGGAACGTCTTAGGAGTCTGAAACAGGTATTCCTCCCATTGAAATAAGCCAACGTCGCGATATGAAATATATCCCCTTGTACAACTTGATAATCCGTGGTTACCATAAATCCAGAGTGATTATCCAAGGCTCTATTTATAGGCCTGACATCGCCAGCGAGATTCTCTCGCCCACCTTTCTCTCTCTCTCTCTCTCTCTTCCTTTCTTTCTTTCTTTTTTCCTTTTACTTTACTTTTTCTACCACCCCTTTTTTATGTCCTTTTAGACACCCATTTCATGTGTTATACTATATTTTCTGACGTGACTTTATTAGGCTACTGATCGAATTCATCATGTTGAAATGCTTCAGCTGGAGACTCTAGATGTGAAGAATGTTTTATTTGAGATAAAAAAAATTTCTAGAGACTTGGAAAGAATTATTCCTATTAATTTATTTATTGTTGAACCATTTTTTTTTTTAACAATCATTGATTGAAATGGGCCTGATGAGACTAATTAATTTTTATTCATTCATTTATTGATAAACGATTTTTTTTGTAATTTAATTGAATTAGTTTTGGAATAATGTGGATAAAAAAGATGTTTCCAACACCATTGGAGTAGGGATTATAGTAAGAACAAAATTCCTGAAGACTTGAATAAAATTAACAATGGAAAAGAGACCTAGATATTCGTTGACAAGACGAGGAAAAAATTCTTGACGATCATTCTTTCAAGTTTCATTGTTAAATATAAATAAAGCAGACATTTGAGAGAAGCTTATCAAGGTAGAAAGTTAAAAAACAAACTTTAAAAATAAAATATTAGGGATTTAAAACTCAAGAATGAACAGTTACTTCTCAACTGACAGTGTTTGACAGCTCACTAGAAAGATAAAACTTATCTTCAGGTGACTATCAAAGCCTCTCAAACGTATGACCATCAGCATCCTCATTAATTTTCTAGACCTGCTTGCATGCAAACTCGACTGGAATTCCAATTTGTAAATGAAGCTGTCGATAAGTGATCGTGAACGATTACTGTCTTGTTATTTTGTCAATTTTCCTCCTAATTACTATTTTCTGTATCCTGCTAACATTTCATATCATCTACATTTTGTACAATATTTACATAAAACTAAAGAATAAAATAAAAAAATTCTCATCAACATTATTACCATGAAAATACTTTAAAATAATTTAAATAATCATTTTCTATAATTTAGTAGTATTATTCAAGGTTAATAAAAATATTTTGAGAAGTAAAAAATGGTGATGGAGATGATCTCCAACAACTCTTTGTCCACGAAACGATAAAAAAAGTATGATCAATGTCTGAAAAAAGGAAGCATAAAGAGGATGATTCTGTGGTGCAGACACGTCGAGGTACGTATGTAAGACATAGTAGAGAGGGAGTGTTGGGTGTTTCGCGAACAAATGGGTGAGCGCGACTGGGTTGAAACGTAAGAGAGCTGAAGGAGCATTGTTCTGTCCCTTTGGCTTGGTGATCCTCCTAAGCGGCATTTCGTTTCGTACACTGGTACCTCCACATTTCATACCCCGTGGCAGGCCACAGCATCTCAGTGTAGCATACCTCAAGCCTGTATACTCGCCGATCTACCGGTACCTCAAAAGAACCGACCGATTCTCAGGTGTGCGTCATTGTTAACCCACCACAACCTCCTCCCTCTTTTTGCAGCATACACGCAAATAAACCTCAATCTCTCATCTATATATCTAGATAAATACTGTTAAATCATATTTTAGATGCTTTATTTGCTTTTATTGTTGACGGCATTGGAGATCATCTAGTTCCTTTGATCTTCTAGAGCTTATTTCTAAAGTAATAATGGATGGAATTTAACTTTATTAGAGTGTTTGAAATTGCTAAAAAGATGATCTTTCTACTAGTAATGGTAGTTTTGAAGTTAAAAAATTTTTTCTTTATGAAATTTACAAAAAAAACGATGGAAATAAATAATTAGCTATGCCATAACACTTTTTCTAGCATCAATTTTTTAATCCAACTCATTTTTAAGCTGTTCAAAATTTTTTTATTGCATCAATAATAATTCCATTTTCAAGATTATACTCTGAACAATTTCAAACACTGGTATTTAATCATTTTTCTAGGTTTCTATTAAAAAAAAAAAATACTTCTAAATCATTAAACCCAAGAAAAACGTTTAAAACCAAGACTCTAGACTTCTTGCTGTGATCTCAGTGTTTATAAGAGCACTCAGTGTACCAATTTAATGCTATTGTAATGCCAACAAGTGTTGGGTCACCTTCCATAACTCTGTTGCAATGTAATGCCACGTGTAAAGCGAGCACTCATAACGCCCCACGAACCTGTTGAGATATAGCCCAGGTAGTGTTTCAATTGCTTGGCTTCGTCAATGATACCCAGTTGCTCCGGCCCCAAGATGCGCTTTGATATCAACTTTAAACGCGATAAT